CATTAGGTTTCACGTCAAAGGAACCTGAGAGGTGAACTGTGTACTCTCTTAAGCAAGGATGTATTAAATATTGATGATGATTTAATAAGGGTTTACTGGTGGTTTAACAAGGGTTACCTGGCTTATGTAACCACCCGTGTGATCAGATTAGAAGAGAAAACCAGGTCCAAGACAGACAATTATGTGCCTGCATGTACACAGAGAGCAGTTGCCTACTGTTTTCAGTAGATGGCTGCACAGCTACAAATGCATTTAAAACTTGTCCAAAATAAAATGGTAATATGAGTCTTTGTTTCCCTGTCTGTAGAATAAGGACAAAAGCGGATTTGGAAGAAAAAAAAAAAAAAGAAAACCAAAACCAGCTCTACAACCCCATGCATCATGTTACTATTTTAACTGTAATTTAACCCAGTTCACATGAGGTAATTGATCACTAGTTTGGTTTATTTTCGTCAGATTTTTTGGTACTGCTTTCCATTGTAAAGATGGTACAAATAAGGATTTAAATAGATTCTTATTGAGAGATCAGAAGTCTGGAATCCACTGACATTTGGCTTTCAGCAGGACTATACTTTGAGTGAATCATTGTACGAGGGATGTTTTGTTACCTATATAAATCCACTAAAATAAGAAGACCAATAAATACAGAGGTAGCATTAATCTACATTCCTGCTGTGACCAAACAACAGAACAACACTGGCAGATAGCATTAGCTTTGGCCCTAGGTCAAGAGATGTGGCATTTAAGAAAGCTAACAGACTGAATCTGATCTTTATTTTCACAGGTTAGCATGAGCTTGTGCACTAATCTTGACCTATTATAGATGTAAGGGGTAGCTAGAGCCCTTTGTTGAATTTATGCAAAGAAAGGATTACATCTCAGTATAATAAATATCTCTCACTATCACCTTAACAATTTACCTTGCTACATCTACCATGGTGGCTTCAAAACAGTGTTTATTAAAGCAAAACCAGTTTAATCTTAGGCTTCATCATCCATCCAACACCTCCAAAGTATTTTATGAAAGAAAATATGTAGACTGTCCAGCTGTATAAACTGAACCAAACAACCAAATTCTGTTCTCACAGGAACATGCAAACTGGAATCAAATCCATTTGACTCAGTGTATTTATAAAAGCAAAGCAGGTCATGGGGGACTAGGTTTGCATTAAGCATTGAACTATGTATTCCATGGTTGCTGCACTCAGCAGTGCCTTTCTGACTCAGTATAATATAATTGTATAGCTTTGAATACTTTTGAAACTACCCCTGACTCTACATTTGAAATACAGCAGTCCTTTCTAATAATTTCCCTATTGAGGGAAATAAACTGATAGTGCAGAGAAAGCTCCTGTCTGCCACTTTTAAATCCATGTTCACTGTATCTCAGAAAATGTGCTGCAGGATCAGAAAAACCTCAGGGAAATGTAACATGCCAAAAGAACACTTTGGAATAATTCCTGTGCAGGCAATATCTAAGCTATTTTTCTGTTCAGTGTATCGCTAAAGCTATTGAACTCCTTGCCAAACGATGTTGCAGAGGCTGGAGTATCATAAAGTTTCAAGGGCGCACTGGGCACGTTTCTCATGAGAAGAAATGTGTTTAAGATCACTGAATGTAAGAAAAATACATGCTTTTCAAAAAAATCCTTCTTTCTTTTCAACCACTTGAAGTTCAAGTAGTTGAAACACTGGAAGATTGCCCAGAAGAAACATCAAAACTTTTGCCCTGATAGGCTACTTCTCCATAAACATGTTTTTGACCACTGTCAGATGGCACACTGGACTAGATAGAACTTTTGGGTTGTCCTGTCCTCTTTACATTCTTATGTTATATTCATTGCTTACAAGCAAAGCCCTAAATTTTTTTATGCATTCAGCCTTGTTACTTCCTTGGGGAACACACTTTTAGTAAAGCAGTCATAGAGGATTTTGTATTCTGTCTTCATATAATCTGTTGAAAACTACTGGGGGAAAAAAAATCACCCCATGATTAACTGGTACCATTTGAAAACGCTTCTGCTTTTATTTCAGGCCTTTGTTCCACCCCAGATTCAAATAAATACTTGACAGTTTCTAGAATCTGCAAAAAATTTCAAGGTTTACAGAAAAGCTATTTCTAGAAGCATGTGTTCTTAAGATATTCTGTCTGCTTTTGAGCTGATTGTGAGGTAGAAACTTATCTAGTGAATATACACCACACACAGGATTATTATTTTTTTTAAGATGCAGACCATATGATCCCTATTACTAGAGGAAGAGAGACTTCACAAAAGCCACATGAATAAAACCTCTCTGCGGTACTCTAGCCCTCTTTTTTTTCAGATTAGGTCTTGATTTTGCCATTTTCATTTACATGTAGGCACTGGAATGAGTGAGCTTTGAAACATACAGAATACATCAAATATTTAGTCCTTAGGTATTACAGAATTTAACACGTCATCTCCTAGGGTATAATCTCAGAACACAGCTGCACATACCTGTGTCCCCAGAAATATAAATTTCCACACTTGGAAGAAGGAACATGGACCCAGGATGCACACGTTCTCTACCTACTCCAGGCCTCAGAAAGGCTGCACACACCTGGCAGAAATCAACAAGTGCCTGTCTTGGCAAATCAGAGCACAGTGACAACTGTTTTAACTACCTTTCTCCTTGTAGATTAATCCTGGTCAAAGATGTCAAAATCTTTCCTACAAGTTTGCATAATCTATGTTGTCATCTTCAAAATTAATATAGTATTAAAGAGTAGTAAAGAAATATAGATCCAATTGGAACACTTAACCATTCAGCACTTAGTGTTTCTCTGGTATGCCTAAACCTGTACCCATCTGCTAGAAAAGACCTCTGGACACAGAGTGAAGGCACCGAGGCTGAAGCCGGGCAGGCGGATGGTGCCCCGAGATAGACCATTAAATGTAAATAACCAATGTCCAGTGAAATACATCCTAATGGCAAACATCAACTACTTAGGCTGTATAAGTCATTCCAAAAACAGCATACCAGTTCATACCTGTTGGCAAAACAAAGACTTAGGTCGTCTTCCTGGAAACTTTTCCACAGTACCTCCTTTTTTGCTTAAACATCTATTTGACATACTCTTCTCAGCATAAAAGGCTATAAGCATTCTATTTAGCATCCAAATGATTATATACAGTTGTTTAAAAACTAAACCAAGCAACCAACCAAAACTGGCCATTCACTTCTAGGAATGAGTTCCAGGAACGGGAAATTTACTTGATAAGGTAGATCACTGAAAACCAGTAATTCTTGATATTCAGGAGGAAAAAAAAAAAGGCTGAATCTTTTGAAGACAAATATATTAAAGTAATCTAGCAATAATATCAAGGCAATGGAAGACAGTAGGCTGAATCTTCCAGCATCTCAAACACAAATCATTGCACAGATGAATTTTTCCATCAGACAATAGTAATAATAACAGAATAATTGAGTCCAACATCAGCTTTACTTAGCCCAAGTTACTGACAAATAAGTCATATTAGCTGTAGGCTCATATCCACATTCTAATATATGACAATATATGCTAATATTCAAATTCTAAAGATTAAGAGCCAGAAATACAGAATGAATAAAAGGTAATTTTGCACATTCAAATCCTCAACCTTATCTTTTACAGGTGTTTTCAGGTATTGAAAGTCAGTTTCCTCATCACGACTTTTGGGGAGGCGCAAACACTGGCCTCTACCTCTGTAGATAGGAAGATCTCCCTGCTCTGTCCCTGGAAACCAATATCTCTGCTCTAAAATGAACTTTGTTCATTTGATAGAACCAAATAAAAATGCATCATTATTAAATACAATATTCTTTGGAGTAAGCATTGCAGTGAAACAGAGATTAGGGAGAAATAGTGCACAAGTATCTGAATGTGCTGTGTCTTTTATCCAGTGTCTATTTTTATAAAAATTCCATAAAGAAAATTTGACCCAAAATGTCTAGAACTCACTGATTTTTAACATTTACCTTTGTTATAATTTGCTGTGTACTAGTTTTGTCCACAATGTCTCAGTCAACACATTTACAATCGCTGTGATTTTTTAATATAACCGTAACAGAAAAAATTCTCTCAAGCCCTAAATGTGTACATTTGCTCTTAGAACACATGGCTTTTGAGTCATAGTGAAGTTTGTTTTCCCAGTTCTTCCTGGAAAACTTTGCCTTGGATACAGCCCACAGGTTAATGCAAGGTAGTGTGCTGTTCTGTCATAATCAACTCTATACCTAGAATCACGCTGCAATATAGAAGAAAGCAAACCTTTTATTTTCTGTCAATTGAAATATCTTGAAGGAACCATAAAAATCACAGGACACAAGCTGAAGCTCTAAATCCTATAAACGTGTCATTGAATTCACATGTTGGGATGTAAAACATAAAAGGAATACAAAAGTCTGCAGGAAGGCTCTGTGTACACAAAGCATTTAACTAAAGAAAACAAAAGAATTGGGAAACTCCAGAGAAGTAACTGTCTCTGTCACAGTGATTAAGTCTTTCAGGGGCCTCCTATGAATATTGTGATGAAAAAAAAGCACCTAACAAGCAGAATTTATGGCTCTGCTCTGTAATTATTCCTTTAAAGCTTCAGAGAGGTAATGACTGAAAGTTAGTTAATTTCAAACCTCAACTCGAAAGGAAATCTTTAGTCTGTGGTTAGAAATACACTGGCAAAAAACTAAACCTTGATTTATCAGTCTTCTTTATTTATTTATTATTTAGAAGACTGCCCAAGAACAACGTTAATAGCATTTAATTGACACAGGAAAAGATTCCACTGAAAGTAGAGGAATGCAAGTGGGTATCTACACTAGATTCAAAAGACAGGTTACACAGAATTTCAAGCTGCTGAACATACACACAAACACACACGAATCCGGTAATTTTTTTTAAATTTATTTTTTCCCTGGAGTGAGCATAATTCTTTCATATAAAATTTTCTATTGAAGGAGAAAAATACATGTATTTTTTTAAAAGTAATTCTGTCTAATGCTTTTGGAAGTCTGCTGCAACAAAGGCAAAGAATTCTTCCCTCCCACATTATATGAGCAGAAGAGAAGTTTTAAAGAATTTCACTGGAGGTAGTAAAATCCTGACATAATAAATTCAATTGAAATTAGCTATACATTTATCTTTCTGTCATTTGTCCACTTGGGATAGTTACAGTCTGCTTCCTGCATGCTTCCAACTGCACACAGAGAGTTCCAGAAGGATGGGAAGGCAAGGCTACAGCAACACAGAAAAACATTCACAGAAGGAAAGAGACTGTCTTCATCAAGCAGCATTTCCACCACCTGCTCCCTGGTGATACCAGAAAGCAAATTCTATCTATTTGATGTAAGACAGCTACTATTAATGCCACAATAATAAAGTAGAAAAGGGTCTAGCTTGCAGATTGCAGATTTCACGTAACAAGCTAGTAAATGACAAGCTCCTAGAACGTGGCCAAAAAAAGAAGCTTAACAATCATGTGAGGAAAAGGTCACAATGAAATTTTAAGTACACTGGCAGTACATGTGCATTTCTAGTATTTAAGGTATGAGAACCTTTACTTTCATTGTAGAACTCAGTAACTTGGCTGGTAACGTTCTCCAAATCTTACTAAGGTATTTAAAGCATCAATAGGTGACAAAGTTATATCCTTCCTGAAATCCTATGTGATAAGATTACACTGGGTAAGAATCTTTCTTTTATATTACTTTGAAAGCCTAGAAATAACATTTCTCTGTTAATAATGAACAATTTCCATTTGTTTTATATCAAGTTCAGTACTGTAGGTGAAGAGTGAACATTCCAATTCACAGTTGCAGATTTTAGCACAAACACCTCTAAATATTCATTCTTTTTTCTTGTTTGTGAAAGCTGATTACTGCTAATAGCCATAAGCTTGCATAGAGGAGATGAGCCCTCTGCCACACAACTGGGCATTTATTTTTGCACTTCTTAACCCATTGGGTTTTATGGAGCCTCTTTGATGACAACACTTTAGATCCTGCACAGTGGCTATGTAGTTTCCTTACTATTTTACTGTAAAGCACTTTCTCACATGAATTTTTAAACATGTCAAATATTTTGCCACAACCAGATCTCTGTTGACAATAATTATGGAATATTAGAAGTAAGGCAAAATGTCATTCTATTACAGTAATCTTTAAGAGGTCTTGAATATCTGAAACATTTATCTTTAGTACTTTCAAAACTGTCTTCTTCATAAGAGAAAAAATAAATTAAAAAATGCAAGTTGGAATATAACATAAATATTCAATTTACAAACATGCTGTATCCTCTTTTATTACTATGTATATCAGTTCCTATGAACATGATGCTCCATGTATACGTGATGAACCCACTATTCAGAAAGACAATACACAGAGAATTCCAGTCCAATAAACATACATTATTGAAAATATTTATTGTATTCAGCATCAGAATTATGTCAATTTAAATAAATGCAATACCCAGAGACTGGAATCAGCAATGGGCTTTTGCATGTGATTCATGTTATTATGTGCAGTATATTCCACATACTTTCTTCACAATCACAAAGTTCTCTTATCTCATGTTTTGTACACACTTGCTTCCATATTTCTTCTAACTTTTCACCTGAAACGTCCATGCCAATGTTGTGGAGAATTTGTGCAATCTACAAAAATAATACAAAATACACAATTAACGTGATTCTGGTCAGTATTTTGTTAAACTATATTGAGTCTGGCTTTTACATATATTAGTAATCCCTATTTGCCAAAGAATATTTTCCCACTCTTAAATAAAAACTACAGATCACATTCTGCATCCTTAACCAAAGAAGTTCCTATTTAAGTAAATCCAAATCTTATTGTGATGAAAACTACACAAAATTGTCTGTAATTAATAAAATAATGTTGGTACACTATTTCAACATTGGAAAAAATCAAACACAGAAGACTCGGGTAAAAATAAATGTTTTTTAAAAGCCCTAAGTCAGGTTCTGTTTATCCACTGGTTTTGCTGTTTGCAGTTATCAACACAAATCAGATTATATATCATCTGCATTTCACAGCAAGAATACTATACACAAGATCATCAGCTGGAATAGATAAGCAGGTGAAGTGATTAAAATAAAATGGTTCACATCAACTTTGGGCCTTGCTATAATTTTACACCAAAGTGTAAATTCATCAAAACAGGAGGTTTTTTTTATTTTCTCACTTGAATGCTTCCTGCTACATGCCTAATTACACTGACCTGTTGACTCATTAGAGGAAGGTTACTTTAGAAGAATATTGATATGACTTGTGCTTCTGTTACTATTAGCAAACGTTTGGTTTCAACTGTATCATAAATGTGTGTATGCATGTGTTATTTTTATGGATGCTTTGATAAAGTTGATCATCTTTCTCTAAAGCTGTCTTTTGTATAAATACAGGTCTGATCCCCAGTACAGCAAATCTTCAGCTTCATCTTTAGCCAGTAAATCTATGAGTTTATGCCAGCCGAAATTGCAGGAGGAAAACAGGGACTGAATTTTGTTTCTTTAAGCAGAGGTGCCGTTTCAGTTAAATCAATAATCCTACCCATGAGTAAAACAAATCAGATTTGATCGAATGTCTTCAATGAGCTAGTGACATTTAAAAGTTAAACTAAAAGCAATATTCCATCACAGGAACACTGCAGGGACAATAAAGGACTACATGCTCCCATAACTTGGCTTCGCCATATTAACAGCTCTGTCCTGACTCACCAACTGCCATAAAATCATCACTGACCAAACCATGGACTGTCATGTGTGCAGAGCGGGTTAAACTGACCCTCACCTATTGTCAACATGATCATGCTGAATATAAATTACACACTATTACTCAATTACATAACTTCTATTGTCTTCAACAGACTGGATTCCAGTGAAAAAAACAGCAAGCCCAAGAAGTATTTTGTTCTTTTGTAACATGATGAGTCACCTCAGGAAACTGTTTTATAGCCAGAATTCACATTCATTTCTACAGGTCTATACAAAAACTGGTAGTATTACATTACTCTGGGCTTTCATCTAATAATAATATCATATGATCATAAAATAACTACATTAACTATGATATTTTGAAAACGTTAATTAAAAAATAGTAATGATAAAATGCCAAAACAGTCCATTTCATGAACATAGGGTGATTTAACAGACTCAGAGGTGGTTCTGCACTGAATTCTGTATAGTCAGTATAGTCTACAATGGAGTATGATATCTCAGGATGTGTTATAGCTTCAAAGAAGAGCTCTATCTAGTCCTTGAAAGATGTAGTTGGCTTCTCAATCAAGCATGAATTCTATTTACTGTTAGCTATATGCTGCATGCATGCATTTCCTCTTACAGAGGACTATAAAATGGTTCATGTACACAACATTCTGACAAGGTATTTTATGGATATGTATAGAATGTGATATCACACCTTTCACATCCAGCCAGTAACTAGCAACATTCTGTTCTGTAAAATATATATTCAAATCCCAGATCCGCTTTCAAGCGTGACTGAATATTTAATATAATGAGTAGTAGAGAGGATCAGGTTGCCAAGGCTTCTTTTCTCATTTAGATTGGAATTTCACATTTCATTGCAATTGTCTCATAAATTGTACTTCAGCTAATGAAGTTCTCTCTTTATATTTTTTCACTCTAAATTGCATACAAATGTAAAAGCAAAAGAGTAAACAATATTGTAGAAGAAGAAGCAAATTTGTTTTAGTATTTATGTGAGAGAAATTCTAGTCTGTGAGAAAAACAGAGAGGTAGCAGCCTGCAGAGATATCAGAAAGAAAATTGCCTACAGTCTCATGTCCTATCTTCCTCTTCAGAAATATGAGACAGCACAGCATCGCTGTGTGACTCCCAATATCTTCTATCACTGTACAAGTCCTTTGCAGAACTGAGCCTCTGAATGTGACTCAGCAGAGCACCTAAAAGATATATACAAGTAGTTTCCCAAATTTGCCATTAGCAAAACCTGCCAAGTTTGTTCGAGGGGAGGCACTTCGGGTAAAATTTTACACTGAACACCTCTCTGTGATAGAAATTAGTTTTATGCACCTGTAAAAATTTTCTTCTGGGACTTTTAAGACATCTCATGGAATATAGAATAACTTTGGTTGGAAGAGATCTCTGGAGACCATCCATCCAGCAACATAATTAAAGCAGGGCAAACTTCGCCATTAAACCAGGTTGCTTGAGACCTTGCTCAGAAATTGAATATTTTGGATCTCAATAAAATTAATATCTACCATCTTTATGAATAATTTATAATGTGAAGAGTACATATATTTCAGATCGTTAAATGGATGTAAAGAAAGATGGTAATCTCGCAACAATGAATTTTACAACCTGTGTATTTGATAACATGACTTTCCACTCCCACATGGCTAGAGGAACAATTATCTTGGAAGAATATGCTGAAGAAATTCACTATACCTCTGCCTTTGGTCTCTTTTTTAAAAGTTCTCTTTCATGCACTCCATTTTGACCGAAGACAGAAGGGAACATTAATGCAAAACTAGTGCCCTGGTCACCATAATTAGTTGTGTCACTGAGGCGACGAATTCGAGGAGCAGGAATATCTGAACGAATAGTTGGAATACCACACATTGGATAACCTGCGGAAATCAAACAACAGGCATCATGGAAAAGCCTGTATGTAAAGATAGTGCCAGGGAGGATAAAACATTTTGCGTGAAATAAGAAGAAATGTGATGCTTCATCTCACACAGGATCAATAACAAGTCATGTAATTTTCTTCCTTATATCCTTTTTTGCATTTTTAGAAATCTTGGTTTCAGCTACATCATGGAGCATGAAAACAGAGAATCTTGAAGTAACATTCTGTTACTTATCCAATATTTCCTGCTGAAAGTATTTGAGGTGTTTCCAAGAAGATATGGTTCTCCTAGAATTACTAGCATAATTTCTCAAAGACATCTAAATTAACTTTCATGTTTTGAATGGAATAACCATTCCAACTTCCAAGTCACAATCATAAACAAACTTAGTTTAGATAAATTAATTCACTATTGTACCTTAGTAGAACCTATAGCAACACTTTTAAACTTTGCTCCTGATTTTGTCTTAAGGAATGCCCAGAATTGAGCAGCACAGCCCAGTGTACTTACAGGACAGTGGGATACCACCTACTACAGCATTATACTGAGAAGATGTTGTTTGATAACTTGCAAATACACGGTCTGTTGGTTCTGTAGGCGTTCTTGGTGTCTTTTCTGAGCTTTCTGGTTCGTTTAACATGAGATCTTCCTGCTTTGGCTGTGGCTCATCTTTTCTCTGTGTGTCTTCAGGAACAAGACAGGCACCTAATTTTTTCCCTATAAACAGAAGTTATGGTACGGCCAGGATATACTATCACCACATTGTAGACTAAGAGGTAAAAAACATTGCTTGAAGAACTATAAAGTAGGTAACATAATTCATCTGCATTTCTGCTAATGATTCAAAGAGATGTTTTACTTTCTCCTAATCTATAGTATTAAGGAAACTTCCCAGTGACAATCTCAACATGCAACAAAGAACTTCAGGGTTCTGAAATGCATCTGTACCTGAGGCTCTGCTGATAGTGAGCAAGGTAAATGCACTCTCTAAATCCTTCCCTTATAAAGGAGCACTTAGCTTACAACACAATGTCCCCTCAACAGCTGTTCCAAGAACAAGATCATCCCCACAAGTTCCAAGTATTAAGGCATCTACCTTTAGCAATTATTTTTTCTTCAAACTCTTTAATAGCTGTTTTGTCTTTCCAGTTCAGAAAGTTTGCAAACTCCAGATAATTAACCAGACCATCTTTATCCAAATCACAGCAGTCAAATAAGGAATCCAGGAGCTCATCATCTAGATTCAGATTAAGCTGAAAACAGGACTTTCTTAGGTTGTCCTTGTCTATCATTCCATCACCATTCTATTATAAATAAAATAAAACAGTTGTTAAATTCTATGATTCTATAACTGCCATTATAAAATGACTCTGCCAAAAGAAACACATACATGTGTTCACAGAGATATCTACACACAAATAGCACCAGACACACCATTTCAAGAACAGTAACATTGCTGAGTAGAGAAATAAACCCTAAGTAATTTAGAAATTAGAAATCTGAATATAAAAGTGTCAAAAAGTAATTTATAGTGATTTGAGAGTAAAAGTGTGACAGGGTATTGTGACAAGGTAACAATCTAATCATAAATGTTGGGGAAAAGCCAAGATGCCTTTGAAAGTAAGACATCAATCATTCCAATCACTTTGTATACATTACAATTAATGTTACATATGAAATGTCAATCATATTTTTTTTTCTAGAGAGAAAAAAAAAAAGATCTGAAATTCTGATGCCTGGCAACTCAGTCAAAAAGTACAGCTTGGAAGAAAATATGAACATAATCCCTTCAAACTCTTTCCCCTTCAAGGAGAAATGCCAAATTTTGATGTGCAAAAATTGCTAAGATTACTCCTGCTCACACGTTCCTTGCTCGCTCTAACGTGGATTTTTCAAATGCTATTGTGAAATGCTCCAAATACTACTGTGTTTAATTCAACAGCATATCACAGTAGATTAAACACACAATAACTATGAAGTTACCTTGTCTTTATATTCTTCACCTATATTTACCTTGCTATGCTTATGCTTCTTCATGGCTGTATCTCCATAGCACAGGAGCACTAATGTCACACATTACATTTATACTTTTCCAGAGCACTAACCTTATCATAATGTCTGAATGCTTTTAGCAACACATCAAAATTCTCATAGTTAGCTTTCTTCAAACTTTGCCGAACTGCAATCAAGATAGCTTTTTCTCTGTTCTTACCACGGAGGAACTCACATGGGACACGGTCATGAAGAAGATCATAAAGTCCTATAAAAATGAACAGTTCCTCAATTAGTTGTGCATATACAGAAAACAGACATAAAAAATAAAATAAGTTTGCATTTTTAAGGAAAAGGAGAATTTAAGTTTCAAGAGGCTGATTTTCAGCACTGCTGAACATCTGATACAGCCATTTCATTACAAGATCAATGGTCTGTATAATGATTTCTCTACTCACACAGTTAATATCAAAAATTTTGAAACATCATAATGTAGCTTCATGAATCTGTCCACTGCTTCCAAAAGCTTCTGACAGCAGTAGGAGTTACTCAATGTCCAGATAATTGAGAAATAAAAGAACATATATTATTAATCTACCACTTCCAGTCTGTCATGTTCCAGATACTTACGAGACCCAATGTAAGATTTCAGATAATTATATATCACTGGTTTCTAGAAAGAAAATGTACTATTTTTATGTTACTTTTCCCATTTTCTGTGTATCCCAACTTTATTAATATTTTTAAACACTCTGGCACAATCTTAATCCAAATCTCCAGGACACCGAAGTCACTCTCTAGAGTGCAAGAAGTTCATTCAGAGTCCAGTAACAAACATGAGTAGCTCATATAATCCCCTTCTAACAGTAATGTATGTACATCATTTTCCACTTGTTAATAGTAAATTCTTTTGTTCAGTTCCTTCTGCTCTTATAGGACAATTATACCTACACATTTAAAGTATTTAACTTTATTACACTACATAATAATAAATGTATAAAAGCTTATGCACTCTTTGAACAAGCTTTCTCTGGTCGTGACTAATTTAATAACTTTGAGCCACTTACATTTTTTGCTTCCTAATTATTGACTGTATTCCCTAGGTATTAAACACAATGTTAAAACATCAATCCCAACACTGACTATTGGAGTTGACAAGCTTTCAAAATTTTGTCATAATGAAAATTCATAGTTTTTTATTTTTACTCTGCTTTCCATCTCCCTGTAACCTTCAAAAAACTTATTATTATTTATTGCTTGTTATTTTTACTCTTTTTCAAGAAGTGCTGAAAAAATCATTTGAGAAGAAAGATGCATCATTGATTTAAGTAGTCATCTTAATTTGTCACAGTTTTCTGTTGTTTCCCATTTAGTTACCTTCAGATACAAAGGCTTTAAAAGAGTAAAAAAACCCCTCAACATGATAATTCAAAAACTAAAGTTTCTTTATTTGTGACATTTATTTTTTCCCCACTAGCAGCTTCAATTCTCAAATTTGCCCTCCAAAGATTTACTATCCATAAATTTTTGTACCTTGCCTCTAAGATAGATAGGAAAACTATATATTACACAACCAACAGCACTTACTTCAGCATATCTCATCAGCAAGATAAGATTTTATTCTGCCTTTAAACTTACCATATTCATCTGGAGGGACTACCAATCCAAATGTATGACCTGGGGGAACATTCATAGTTTCTGCTATGCTGTCAATAAGGACATTTCTTTGTTAATTGTCACACAGTTAATAGCCAAAATAAAACCTCTGCTACTATTAAAAAAGTTATAATATGTTATATAATTAAGGATAACCCACAAAAATACATGTGATACATCTGAAATTTTTTATCAGTACTTTGTTTTGAAGTTACCATTCCAGAAAAGCATCCCTTTATAAAGCTAATTAGAACATTTGCTGTTTGTAATATAACACAGTCAAGTGTAAACATCAACCTTTTGGACATTTATGCTCATTAAAGGGAAAAATATTCTGTGCTATTTTTTTTTCCTAAGACACTGATAGAAACGTGCAAGAAAAGTCCTTATAACATAGACAGATAATAGGAATGTTTAGGATAAGATCGCAAACTGAAATGTCTCTGAATAAACTACTTTTGGCTAAAGTGGAAAAATTGAATCACATCTCTGCTTTTCCACATGCAATTTTATGTCTACCAAAACCAGCAACTGACTCAATATACATCTGGAAAACTTGGTCCACTGTTATTTACCAGAAATTGAAGATGTTGTTGGTGACATTAAAGAACTGTTTATTTTTTAATTTGAAAAAGATGTAATGTTAATTTTATGTTTAATAGTTAAATAATTAAAACTGATACATTAATCAAAAATCTCCATCAAAATTTAAATGATAATCAGTGCACTGTTCTAAAGCACAAAACAAACAAACAAAAAACCCACACAGAGATGGAAGCACTGTAATCTAAAAACTATTATGTGTATTTTTCTTTTATCATTTTCATACCACACATAGGATGTGGATGGTGTAAAGTGCACTAAATAGGATTAGACTAGCTTGTATCTGTCTTGTAATACTAGTGCTGGGTTTGAGCTCGCACTGCAACCCATCCCTGACTGATCATACTGCCTCATGTTGCTCAAGCTTCAGGTCTGTCTCACAGTAAGCTGGGACACAGTGAAGGGGAGACGAGAACCTGACTCATATTTGTGTTCATTCCTTACACGTACTTATGAGCACAGTTCTCCAGACTAACTTAAGCCTGGGATCTTGAGTTTAAAACTAAAATTTGCTACCGAAGTCAACGATTGTGTTCAGACACAATTTCATAGAAATCTAGAGCATACAGACTTTGTATGCACTCAGGAGCCCTAGGTTTGTAGCATGCCTGTATCCTGACCACACTGTGCCTTAGGACTTCTATGGCACTCCATAAACATTCCTCTGCAAAATTACAAAGCTGTGCCAGATCGCCTGTGGTTTATGAAGCATTCTAATGATTCAACTGAGATTGACATGTGCTGCTGAATAATAACAAAATTTAGTTCCACGTCCTTTTCCAAGGCAGTAATAAAGTGAGATTATAGGTGATGTATCAAAGATTACCAGTAATAGTGTCAGAGTAAGCAAAATGGTCAAATCCCAGATATTTCAGTTCTTTCAAACCTTTCTAACTGCAAAAGATGGGACAGAGGGGAATGTCTTACAGTGTTTGTACTTTGTTTAGTATAGATTTGTTCTTGGAAGGTGTCTTTGCTTACTTACGGATCAAGGGCTTTTCCAAGCTGAGGCTGAAATTTTTCCTTGAAATCATCACTTCGTTTCAATACAAGGTTAGCTGCTCTCTTCCTACAAATTATGAAAATAACTCCTACACATATTTGTTTAAAAATATTCAAGAATTTTTCAATAACATTTTAAAGTGTTATTATATGTTTAAAGGGAACAGCAACTCCTCTGTAAGACAAACACAAATTCAGTAATTGAAAAATTTTCCTATTTAAAATCAAAGGACTTTACATAATGCTTGAGACATGCCAAGTGGTGTTATACTATGGTAGAAGTGATTTGGATCAACAGTTCTGAAATCATACCTTGCATTTTCTGTAGAGTTCAATACAGCTAAGTATGGGATTGTGAGATGTACAATTTCTTCAAAAATGAAGACTTGCTCTTCTTAAAAATTCACACTAGTAGTTAACTCATTGCAACTTACGATTCCAGATCAAAGGCCCACTTTAAGGTCTTGGCTGTATTTCGCCCATCTTCAAAGCGAGGGGTTTCCATTCCATATACAAAAGACTTGTTGAAGTGTGAGTTATACTTCCTATTGACTGCTTCCCCTGCAAAAGTAGTAAGCATATCAACCTATATAAAACACCTCAGGAAGAAAAATACACCAAGTACCTTCACTCTTCAGACAAAACAACGAAAAAACAAAATCAAATAAATAACAAACATGTTCAATTAAAGATAATTTATGTTTATTGTGTAGTTAGGAATAATCTCATTGTCAAAAGTGAAGATAAAAAGCAAAATAAAAAGCAGAAACTACTTCAGTGGTAGAATAGTTGGATATTCTTTTATGTCTGATTAAAGACAACCCCAACAGAATAAATGAAACCAGGTAGCCTAAGTGGGGAGGGTCATGCAAACAAATCCCTTTATAATGTCTGTACCTAAGCAGAGATGTGTTCTATTTGATTTACTGTTTGTTTTTTAAAAACGTAGAAAGGCAAAAAGTGTTTCTGAGGTGCTGCACTTTCAGATATACTCTTGCTACATCTTCTTGTCACAGAAAAAACTGTCATTCTGTTTCTTCGGGGTCTTTTCAATCACTTTTTGAAAAGAATGGTGGTTAGAACTTTCAAAAATATAATTCACTGAATGCTTTCTAATAAGGGCTTAATCTGGCTGTATGGTAGCATAGAGTTTTTATGTTATTGCTGGGGCACATAGTTGACTTTTCTTTTTTTTCTGTCTTTCTGTTTCTGTCTTGGTCTCTCCATGATCTTGTGGATGGAAGTTACAAAGGAGACAAAGACAGGTAATGAATAATTCAACCAAAACACCTGAGAAAGGCAGGGGAGAAGGGAAATAAAATTACAAGTTTGGCCAATTTATACCAATATTACTTGTAATAGAATTTCTCAGTAAGACAACGGTACTATAATTTCACCTCTACATAACTGTCTCCACATAAAATTTACATTATTACAACTGAAAGATCTGTATTGCAGTTTCTTACATGTTTGGCCTGCACCTACAAAACTCTGGCTACTAGCACAAGCAGCAACTTTATTATAATAGTAATCTTACAGACCAGCAATTTAAGTCTTTTGGCCTAAGTGGAAATGATGGAACTGGGAAAAATAGAAGTGGCTGCAAAAGTAATACATGTGCTGTGTTTTAGAGTCCTGTCTGTCTCTCTCTTCCTGTGCAGACCTGTGAAATAAAGGGTAACCGCCCCTGGACAGATCACATCACACAAGTACAGTCCCCAGAGGCTGAAGCAGTGGAGTCACAGCCCATTGGAAGGGCAGAGACAGAGCCTGTGAGATGGACTCACAGGCAGGATCCTGCAGGCTGCATTCCAGAGAGCCACCCAGCAGCCTGAAATTTTTGGAATTAGCTCGATGGTGAGCTCCTCATTAGAAAGTCTGGCTGCTCTGAAATTCTATTTGGATCCTGACAAAAGAGACCAACTAAAGCTGAAAGTACTGGAATGTGTTGGGCTCACAGTCTGTGGCTTTAAGGACAAGACTGCCTTCAGTGGCATAGACAGTGTCAAACTCAGTAGGTAACCAGGACATCTATGAGTTTCTAGTTAATTGGAAATATTCTTCTTTTCAAAGAGCACCCAAAAGAAATCAGGCTTCCAAATCCTTCATTAAGCTCTTACACCCTTTAAAACGCCCACCATGAAGTGAAATACTGTTCTAGAAACAGATCATGCTCTCTTGGATGCATATTTTTTCACATAATTACTTTTAAAAACAACTTATATTGTATTAATACAGTGGTAAAACTAATAGTTTACATCTCAAAAAATAGCATACAGTATGTGTTGAACACATGTAGAGGAATTTTTTTATGGGATTTCTTATTAGCCTCTGAACTTACCCACGTCATAAGCCTCATGTGACACAACATACAAATCATGTCCTTCTCTGGCTTCTTTATCCACTTCCTCAAAGGTTTTTGGTGGATTTACAAGCAGTCCAGCTGGTATATCTGGAAATGAATGTATGGTTGGGGGAGATAAGGGGGTGGGTGTTTTGTTTGGTTGGCTCTCAATTTTAAACAGTATCTTGTTAAAGAAGTTGCTAATACTGTGGAAGAATGATAGTTCTTACCATATTTCTAGGCAATCTATAGTCAGTCTATAGTTAATCTAACATGACATGGGACTAGGGAAAAAAAAAAAAATCACAGAAATCAAAATGAACTTTTGCAAGAGAGCTTCATGGGCAACACATATGCGATTTCCTCCAGTCTATGGAGGAAAGATGGACAGGTCAAGGAAGTTTCTTTCATTAGACTATTACAATTGTTGGGAAAAGGAAAGTAAGTTGACAGCTACCTAAATAGTTCTCCAGGGAAATCTATACACACGGATCAGGAACACAGCTAAAGGCCCCACCAGTTACCATATGTTCTTGGGTGCTTGTTTCTTCACTATAACTGAAAAATACAGTTTTAGGCCTCTCAGTAACTGTTACAACAATTTTTCTGTTAAAAAGGAATTGTTGGAAGCATAGAGCATGTGCTAGATACTAAATTGCAGATTATCTTGTATTTACAAGAAATATATTTTAATGGTAAATTTTCCTACCTTTGATGGTTTTTTTTCCAAATGTAGTATTAATTATATCCAAGCCCTCAGGTAACATAGAAGATTGATCATGTGTTCTACCCAAACGTTCTTCACGACTACTATAGTAGATTGATTCTTTCATGTCTTGTACCTTTTCTTGAAAAACAGTTTTAGGAATTGGACTTATCAACGAAGCTACCTAAAGACATCACAAACAACACAAGAGGCAGGAAAACCAGCAAAATATCATCATTCACACATCAGTATGACTACCTACACACATATACAAGAACAAAAGCTTGCTCAGAAGTGTTTTAATGAGATCTTATATGGTTACACTGATATGATTTTAACCACCAAGTTGCAAACTGAAACTGTAGCTTGAGAGAAGGCCACTAATAATCAGTGCTATGCTAAATCTCCAGCTAAATAAAATACTTATTATGAGACAGAACTTTTTTTTTTAATGCTAGTTTTCCACTTGTTAATTTATACATTTTCTGACTGCAACCTTTCTTTTCTTAGCACATATTAGAAACTACAGTCAAATTATAGTATGACCAAAACTTAAGTGATTTGCTTTTTCAGGTTGCCCATCAAAGTAACGAGGACTCTAGAGAAGGTTTATGATTAGACTCTCATTGAATGTTACATAAAGAAATACTGAAAAAAGTAGTAGCAAATACAATTGATCCAAACCCATGCTTCACAAACTCACTAGGGTTACAACTCTTCCTCCAGTTAATATTTGATTAATAATGTGAAGTCTTCAAAGACTAAACAAATCAATCCATTCATCATAAAACTTGTGGGGAGGGACAGCAAAACCTGGTTGTCTTTCATTTTGGATATGTCTAATAAATGTCCTACTCAACATCCTCTAATGTCAGGCCCTACTTCCTTCATGAAAGTGTATTTTTACTAACACAACTGTTATTTTTAGACATGTGATAAAATCACCAAGATCTCTTCAGTTGTTTGATTACAGATTACAAAAATAATTTCTGAAGAATACTCACAAAATAGTCTGACATGCCCAAACCACCGCTTTTTAGCTAACAAAATCAGCTTCAACCCAAAGGTAAGAAAAAATACATAATAATTACACCAAAGTATAAGCATGTTCTCAGCAGTTTTCCTGATAAGAACTCAACTGCTTTTATCTCTGTAATCCATAAGAAGAAAGCAGCAAAATTTGTGGATAGAAGACTGTTCATTAACTTAAATCTTAAAATGAAATTAATAATTCAGTAGTCACTACAAAAATTAAGTCACTGATAAAAGTCACTGAACTTCAAATGTTTTCCAATTTCAATCATGCTAAATAAAGCCTGATTTGACCTCAGAATTCAGGTAATTCACAACAGCTGTGACATACTGCACTATAAATCACTCAGCTATGTACTTTTATCCCTGACTATGAAGAAATAAGCTGCTGTTATTAAGAACACTCTTAAGGGGTTCATTCTCAAACAAAAGTAAGAGAGTCACATTCTTACACTGAATGAGGAACGTGACTTTATGCCATGTGTCAAGTGAGTTGCAATGTCGGGATCATCTGCTGTGCCGTAGAATATTACTTTAGCACCAGGAGCTGGATCTGTTGTATTTCGAAACTTTCGCACAGTAGTTGGAGTAATGGGCTATATACAAGGCAAAGCAAAAACAATTTTACACCAGGTATTCACAAAACATTAATGAAAAGAAAACGTACTGCAGACATTTCAGTCTCATTTCACAGAGGCAAGAACAAAATACGAGGATGCTTTAGGGCCATAACACATGCATATGCTCCGGCATATGCTGATATTGTGAGTCTAAGGTCAACATAACCCAGCTTAAATTTTATCAAACCAGCGTTGCTAAGTTTCAACTCTTCTCATCTTTGATTTGGGTAACTGCTATTTCACATGTTCTTTATGAAAAATGGATGTTACACTCATCAGTTTCAGAAACCTTGAACCAAATTCACAACAACTCCACCATGAATGAAACAATTTTGGAAATCATTTAAACCAGAGTCTGGGTTTTTTTAAAATTATCATTTAAAGGGAGAACTGTATTTATGGGATCCGTTTGTGTCTCAGTACCCTCTGACTCTTCAGGGGCATGGGGAAGGGGCAGTAGGAATCACAATTCTGAGGGGCATCCTTGTAAAGAAGAAAGACCTCCATCAGAAGACATATTAATTCCAATAATAATTACTACAATTGTGTTACCACAGGAAAAAACTGTCTAAATAATTCTATTCAGTCCTAACTAAGCATACATGGTGACTTTCATAAAACAGGTGAAGTGAAAAAGATCTGCCAGAAGCGTTTTGAATCCTGTCAGCTACTCTTTATGATCCCACGTGACAAAAACTAACACTGAAAACAAAAAAATAGTACTTTCTAAAGAGAAGAGATGTAGAAAAAAATCAACAAAGCTTCACTGATTTTTTTTTTCCCCAGGGCTTGTCTCAAAGCACATTCGCTAATGGGAAATCATTACAAAAGTTTCACAAGGAGCGTGTGCGAAACCAACTCACCCTGGGTAACACCTCGGTGAGGCAACTCGCGACCGTGCCAGCAGCAGGACGCAACTTCCCAGCCTAAACAATGCAATCAAAAAAAAAAGAAGGCATAACCAAGCTCAGTGTAATAATGCACACAACTAGTGTGGGCTGCGCGCACTTTTGGGGGGAGAGAGAGGGCTCGCACGGAGATGCGCCTGCCCGTTTCACACGCTGCCCCTCTGCCAGCCCCTTCTGGGCGAGACCCGGCAGAGGGGCGGGCGGCTCCGCGGCAGCAGTGGGACCCCTTCGGCGAAGGACCAATCTCCAGTCCGTTCGGTGGTCCCCCCGGGGGTCCCCCCCGGGGGGGGCGGTGGCTGCCCTCCATGGCGGCCGGCTCCCGCCGCCCGCTCGCAACGGCGGCGGCAGCGACGGGAGCGCTCGTGGCGAGGCGGGCGGCGCGGCGCCCCACAGCGTCCCCGCCATCGCCCTCGCACCCAGCGCCCACCGTCCTTCCCCTCACAGCGCCCCGCCATCGCCCTCGCACCCAGCGCCCACCGTCCTTCCCCTCACAGCGCCCCGCCATCGCCCTCAGAATCCACACCATCTCCCCGCATCTCCCACCCCTGGGAGAAAGTCAGGAAATCAATTGCACTCGGGTTATCTTGTAACTGTCATGAAGAAAAAAAAAAAAGGCGCAACCACAGAGGTAGCACATTTTTTAGACCAGTCCTTGAAAATATACCGGGTTTCAGACAGGTAGGTTGAGTCTTCTTAGGGTTGAAATGAGGTCTTACATGGTCAAAAGTCTGATCAAACTTTAAATCTTTATTACTGTAATAAAAACTACAGCCCCTTTCACAAATGTTGTATGCTGAGACTGTTCCTCTAGAGGAAACTGCAACTCCCATCCACACAGCACAGAGGTGGGTGACAGCATTACCCCTATGAGTGCTCTTAATGTTTGTCTTAAATGAGTTAACACCTCGTATACCTAAACCACTGTATTTGCCTTTCAGAAGCAGATGCCTGTTATTTCAGAAAAGCAGCATGGGTAAGACTGAACAAGTCCCACTGCTGTTTAACAGACCTTCAGCTCTCACAAAGACTTTTATTTTCAGATGACATTTAGCAAACTCTCCCCTTCCTCCCAGCAAAACATCAAAATTTAATCACATCCTGTTCCATTCTCTATAGTCCTACGACGCCAAAACCAATTTTAGATAAACATACAGACCATAATCGTAATTAATCAACAAACATTACCAGCTGTTACCATTTTAATCTCTGCTCTAACATTTGTTTGATACGGATTTTAAATGAAGGACGCTAAATTAAAACTGAATTCTCAGGACCCTTACCTATAAATGGAAGATGAGAGACTCAGGAAGCAATTCCTCCCTGATGACCGGCTCCCCAGGCACTAGGGGTGCCTGACAACCTGCTCCGGCTGTCGCAGTCATTGCAGTACACATCAGTGCTATGATCAGCTAACTTCCAGCACGTGTGAACCTAGCTTAGTCTTCTCCAGCAAGAAGCATCACGTTAGCATCAGCTGTGATCTAGCTGTGGCCATGTTAGTGCCCTTTTTCAAAAGCAGATGTGTTTTTCTGCTGTAGATATGGCTGTACAACGCTCCTAATACAGAACATCTGCGACCACTTGGGAACTAAAGAGGCTCTTTTAAATCTTAATGTGTTCAGTTCATTTCCTATTGCAATCACATTTGTTGTTACTTAAAGTTTAGAGTGCTCCTGCAAAATAGTTGTTAGTTTAATAAATAAAATGATTGGTTATGCCTTGCCTTGTGATCTGTTCATCCGTAAGGTGCAATTTTTCATCTAGTAAAGGCTAAATAGTGATTTGAACAAAATTGGATGTATTAGAAATCTGGGAGGAATTTGATCTTATTGAGAGAAGTACCTGGGTAAGGATAAAGCTGTCAGAAGAAGAGGGAACTATTTATACAGAGGAAGAGCAAAATACAGGAATGCACAAAGCAGACAGTAATAATAGGGCACTTCAATTTTTATCCTTGTGTTTGTTGTATTTCTAGATGGCTCTCTATCTGTGCTCAAGATATTACCATTGTTTGTACATTCTGTACCTTGCTGATTTATTTTTACATTGTTTTTTCCCCGGTAGGTGGCCACACTTGCTAATTGAAAGAGTCCACTCAGACCTGATGGAGCAGGCTGTGTCAAAGGAAGAAAAATAGGACCTGGCCATGTAAAAAGAATGCCTGTTGCCAAAACAAGTAGAGCAGAAGTCCTCATCCTTCTCTTTTTGCCTCTCTATGGTTGTTTTCTCTTCAGCAGAAATAAAGATCCCTTTAAATCAATTTGAAACCTACTAACAACATACATTCTTTCCTATAATTCTTCTCATTTTAGGAATCAATGTCATATTCATTCCTTCTTATACTGAAAGTTATTTCATCCACAGGAAGAATATGCATAGTGTGGAAAGGATCTGTAAATTTTAAAGATAAGCTCATGAATTAACAAAAACCAGTTGAACTCAATTTTAGGAAAAAAAAAAGATCAAAACTCTTTAATTCAACGTGAATTTGTCATCTCCTATGTTAAAAAAGTAGGATCTCCAGAGAAATCTGTTTGGAAAAAGTTGAATAAAATCTTCCATTATACAGGAGCATTTTTTTCCTCAACAGTACTTGACATATCACGATTTGCTGACATCCAATTCCCACAGTCTAGTACCTTCTTCTGTCTTGTTTAGGCTAAAACTGAGGAATGGAAACTGCCTAAACCCCTGCATTTTGCTTTCTTTATGAAGCGCAAACACCCCATGTTCTGCAACACAGTTCTCACTCTGACTATGGTGCTGGCACAGACGGCAGTCAAAGCACTAACTTTGTAAATTCTTTAAGGTCTCTGAAGGTCAGGGAAGTAAAACAGTGCAAATTTTGTGAAACACCTAAAGGACATCAGCTATGCCGATGCATTTTGCTGTTGTTATTGCCTGGTTACTTTCATGGTTTTTATTCAACTCATTTACAGATAGTAAACTACTCCTTTCTCTGTGCTGCACACATTTCATAAGCTATGATATAATGAAACCAATGTAGGTACAGAAAAAATGTACACAAGCAGAGATAGAAGAAAAAAAAAAGATATTATAGCAGATGGACACATGAAAAAAAAATTTGGAAGTTCAAACACACTAGAGAGATGCCGCACGTCGTCTAAAGTCAACTTCCATTATAATTACACACCTAGCACTGGATTGAAACACAAAAAGGCTGAGCAAAGAACTCTGTAAAGTAATGCTAAAATGGGTGGAAATCCATCTGGTGAAATCATGACCCACTTACACAAATGTGTTAATATCATTGAGCACAGTTTCACTTTTGGTATTTGCCATATGACCCACGATGAAATAAAATATGAACACATGATCACTGGTAGGGCTATCTGTGTGATTTCAGCATTTTCCTTAAACATCTGGTTTTCCAGGCTACTGCAGAAGAAGGTCATCTTCACCACTAGCATTCACAGAGACCTGTCAAGCCCAAAATACACTAGTGGGAACTCGGTCATTTGATTACTGCCACACGTTCTCTTGCCTCTATTTCACACATTCACAATGCATCTTTGCTGTTTGCTGACCCTCTCTGTCAGCGTCAACCAGCTGTGAACAATATGGGAGCTTCACAAAGCAAGAGAGACACACTGTGTCATGACTGTTGTGGTCAGGGAGTTAGTCAGCCAGTAGGAACCTCCTGCAGGTAACACAGGCTTCCTAACAGCACACCAGTATTGTAGCTCTGCTGTTGTGTGATCCCAGTTTCAGAGCGCATCCATCCCATAATCCAAAACACGGACTGCCTACATAGTTAACAGACAAAAAGCATATGAGATTTCCATTCATGCTAGCAGTTTCAGAAAAATGGCCTACTGCAGCACTTCTGAAGTCTGCTCAAAGCATTTTGAAAAATTCTCTAATCTCTCCTGCAAAAGTAATGTTATCCCTTTTGCTTCCTTTTTGTTAGTGCAATTATATTACATGAACAGAATTCCTGCATCAAAAATTTGACTCAGACTTGAACTTCAGGTACATCTGACAATCTGAAAGATTATTCCAATTCTAGAAAGCATTTATCTACTTATATTAGAAGCATAGAATATGATCCCTATATATGGCATATTTTGGTTCTTGTTTCCTGAACATTATGGGCATTATGTTCTGTATTTTCTCTCATTCTTGTTGTGTAAACTGAATGTGTGGTTTCATGTTGCACCTAACTAAAGCTTACTGCCAAACAGGAGGGTCTTGGCCCACTGTCTTCTCTGAACTCGTACTCCTTTACTCTCATGTGCACCAGATCTAGAGAGCCTGCAGCCACAGCAGAGATAGTTCAATCTGCTGTGTTCAGACTACAAAATGATGTCCTTTGGTGAATAATTTTTGCATAACATCATTGGTTGATCCAACTCACTCTGCAGCTATATAATATCACAACTTACTCTAGAGGTTTAAGTTTGCAGCTGGAAACAGAAATGGACTTGGATCATACCTTCCATCAGCAGTTCTTCATTTGAGAAGATTATGTGAAACATTAGATGTTATGACATAAGCATTTAATCTCTGAATTGAATTTAGTTCAAGTTATTCTGTTAATGACTTGATATTTTAATTTTTGATATTTTAATTTTTTTCATCTGAAACTGTTCATGTATATACTGTGTCTGGCTGGGATGGAGTTAATTTTCTTCAAAGCAGCCTGAATGGTGCTTTGCATTTGTGACTAAACTCGTGTGGATAGCACAGCAATACTTCAGCTACTGCTGAGCAGTGCTTGCACAGCGTCAGGACTTTCTCTTTTTCCCCCAGAAGGTATGCTGGAGAGGGGCAAGAAACTTGGGAGTGGAATACAGTCAGGACAGCCGACCCAAATTAATGAAAGGGATATTCCATATCACACAGGATCATGCTCAGCAATAGAAATTAGAGGTAGAAGAAGATGTCTTCCAAGTTGGAAGCTGCTGCTTCGAGACAGGTTGGACCTTGGTCTGTTTATGGGAGGTAGTCAGTGATTTCCTTTGAATTGCCTTTTCCCTCCCTCTTTCCTTCCTCTATTAAACTATC